TATTGTCTTAAAATTAAATGAAGATGAGATTCATATAAACTTAAATAAAGAAATCTTTTCACTTTTTTCAACCCAAAAAACTTGTTGGCGCCTGCTGGATGCATTTGAGACATAAACTTTTAGAATTGTGTAAAAAAGAAATGCTTCCCTAGGAAACAAAGTACACTTTCGTTCCTGTCAGTTAATTGAAAGAGTAATATTATTTTGCATCACTGATATTATAACGATATTTTAAGTGTAATATCATTAAACAAAATATTCAATTAAATGAATCATGTAATTTTACATTTAATTAAGATCATATAAACTAGTACTCTAACACGACTATTGCTAGACGACATTATTCTTGTTAAACCCACAAACAAAATTAAAAACATCATACATTGTTTATGCAAGTGGATAATTTTATTTATTTATTTTGTGTACGTTGTGTCTTCAGACTACAATAAATGGAGACTATACATTTGAATCAACATTTTGGACTGAAATAATTAGCTTCGTCAATGTCCTTTTCCTTTTTCTTCTTCATCCAGCTTTGGTTTAGCTCAAAAAAATGATTAATATTTAAATGAATCTCAACAATTAATTTTCATCATATTTCAAAAATTGATTAATATTTAAATCAATGTCCTTTCCCTTTTTCTTCTTTCATCTACTCATATCAAAATTTATTAAAAATCTAATTTTTATCTGAAGCAGATAGGGACCTAATTTGTGAAATTTTGCTCACAATTGGCTTTTGGTGTCCTATTTTGACTTGGGGATTTGTGGTTCAATTTAAAAATATGTTTATTAAACCTCTTAACGTTAGTGGTGGAAATATAAAACTTGCATTGAAAACAAACAAGTTTTATCCTCGATAAAAATATGCTTCCAATAAAATGTGTATTAAAATTAATTTTGACTTAGTGTGTTTGTTCGTTTTTCATGGTTAAATCTTAACGATAGTTGTGGAAATATAGCCCCAGTTTGACCTCCATTTTTGGGGGAAATATGTTTTAAAATAATGATTTTTTTAAGAATGTCTGGTTAAAAAAATAAAAAAAAAATTTGATTTACATGTAGAATTATTTTATGGGAGATTGTATCAAATAAGTTGTTTGGAGAAATAGAACTCAAATAGAAAATAAAGATGTGCTTCCGATAAAATGTGTGTTAAGATTAATATCATGAGATGCTAGAGGTTTCAATTGACATTCAATTTTCCACGTTTTTCATCCTTTTTCTGAACTTGGACTAGTTATTGAAAAAAGTTTGTTCCTTCTCAAATTTTAAATAATTTTAAGTGTTTTAACACCCAATTAACAAGTAATTAGCATCCATTTTTATAATTTATAAAGGACTTATAAATGATCAAAATTCGTTTTCAATGATAAATTTCAATGGTCCACAAATATCGTCCGCAACTTATCTAATATATAAATTAATCTGTTTATAAATTCTTCCCAAACGAAGCCTGTCAAATTTTATGCGCAATAATAAAGAGATAAAAGAGAGAAATCAATACAAGTATTTATGTAGTTTAACAATATGCCTACATCTACGAGGAGCGAAAATAAAGATATCTTATTCAGTATGAATAATAGGATAAATCATTGGTATTTATACCTAACCTTAGTCCATACAAGACTTTAAAATCTGTACAAAAAAAATGCCCATGTACCGTACCGCAGCGGTATCGACAGTAAATTAAAACCCGCAAGGTGGGCATTGACCTAATTAATCCAGTAAACCTTTGTGTCACTCTCTATGATCCACATACAAGGCTAATGAA